TGAAATTCGTTCTCTGTTCGTATTCGCTATAAAATCGAAAGAATGGTCTTGCAACGTGAACAAATAATAATTCGAAAATAATTTTACTCGTCTGAACTCAGTCCTATCGTTTCTTATTGGATATCTTGTACAATTTATTTGTTGCAGCTCAGTACTCCGGGAAAATTCCTTCTTTTCCTTCCTTTCCTTCTTTTGTTCCAATTTCCTTCTCTTTTTTTGAAAAAATCCTTCTTCTTGGTACCCCCCTGGTGCGACCCCTGGAGGGGGGTTATTTAGATTTCACACTAAACTAAATCATCATATGAAAAAATCTAGTTTCCTTTGAATATAAATGGTTTTTTTTATTTTTGCATTTAAAATTAATTTTTTATACGCAACTAATTATTCCTAGTTGATAATAATCAAAAGATATTCTTTCAAACAATATGAAGTTTTTTAAAATTTTCGTTGTTTAATGTTGTCTGAATGATCTCGTATTCTGTATAAGATAATTTTTTATTCATATGTGAATTTGAAAAAAACTTTGAGTAAAATTGTATTAAATAGCATCCTAGAATGATTAGGAACATGCAGAAGTTGATCTCTTGATCATATGGCTCAGTGATCTAAACGATGGATAAATGATACATTGTATGCATATTCGAATCTAATTTTTATCCTTATATATTTCCACTTAAACTAGTCTGGACTTGTCCACTAAGTAGGGCTACAACTCGTCCTATGCTGTTCTTGACATCCTTACTTTTTCAAGTTTAAATCATTTTCGAACGGGCATCCCTGTCACCTGTCCTGACTAGTCTATGTTTCAAAAAGTCCTCATCTAGGACTAGTCTGTAGATTATATAATAACGTTCTGTATCAACCGACTTCAGCCCAGTCTTGTATGTGTCTTTCTCAAAAAAAGACTAGACTAGACACGTATAATGTCACCCGCCAATCATATAATTTAGACAGGGCTTCAAGACGCCCAAAAACTCCTAGATTAGTCATTAGGGGCGTAACCAGAAAAACGTGATAGAGGGGGCTCAGTCCCCTGATCCAGTTCGTAGAGGGGGCGAAGACACTTCCACTGACGTCTTCAGAGGGGGCTCATGGTGTTTTTTAACAGAAGTCAACCATTCGTAGAGGGAGCTCAACGCCTTCTAGAGGGGCTGAGCTCCCTCTAGCCCCCATCTGGTTACGCCACTAGTGTGTGGGTGTGGGTGTGGATGAAAACTTTATTTGTCAATCAAAAACCATACCCACACCCACAATTCGCTAAACGTTTTTGCCCATAATCATAACATAGACAAATATGACTATCATCATAAAAACAAGAAAGTTTCGATGAATATCTTTGACATGGTAAATGATAATATTTGATACGATGAATCAGATGCATTTTAACAAATGTTTCATTAAATAATTCATTTATATGTTGACAACAATCTGATGGATTTATCATTTTAGTAATTGTTGTTAATCGCTTATAAGTGTTTTGAATAACAGCTAAATAATAAATTTTATTTAGAAGTTCAATGAAAATAAGATGAAATGGTTGTGACGAATAAATAGAAAGTAAATGTTGTGTAAGATGAATTGTTCGAAAAGCAGTCGTTCTAATCGGTGTACTATCATTTACAATTTGAATGAAATGAATAAATATCGATTGAGATAAAACAATATCGTTTCGAAATGATAAAATCATTTTATTATCAACTATTTCACATCGATCACCAATATAACCTTTTGGACAAATACATATAAATCTTTTATTCGATATCATATATTCATCAGCAGGAATGCATTGTCCACTATTTTGACATGTTAAATTCTGGTCCATGTCACAAATTTTATTGAGAAGGAGACATTGATAACCAAATTTATTAATAGGACAAATGCATACAGATCGATTGTAAGCAGAAACACCAATATATAATGAATCAGATGAACACATGGAAGTATGTGGAATAGTACAATATCGTCCAGTCCATCCTCGATAGCATTGACAAAAACTAGTATTTTGCTGGTTGAAAATCAACCATAAAAGCAGTCCTGATGGGTATGGGTTCAAGTCTTCGCTACACCCACACCCACATTCACTTCTACATCGCCAAATTAAGCTGAAAAATTGCGATGAAAGTTGTGCCACACAAGAAAAGAAACATACACCGTCAGTATCTAAATGTCTAGAATTATTAAACGCGTTTTCACCGTACCCTGAACATCCTTCTTGAACGATCGTTTATTTAAATCCATGATACATTTTCCATGAATACATAGAGAGTTCGAACAACTTTTGATGTGTTCATTCTTTCGTGAAATATCAACTTTATATGCTACACAATAAACAGGTAAAAATGGAAATATTATTGGAAATAATAAACTTCCTCGATGAGATAATGAAACTTTTTCATAGATATCAATATGTATTGCATAATTTTTTGTTTGATTTTTTGATCGAGTTGAATAAAGCAAATAAATATTAAATTTTTCTTTACAATCTCTTATCAACAAATAAGTGAACTGTTCATATGAATGAATAATTTTTTCATCAATATCATCAATAAGTGAAATAATTATTGCAAATAATGTTGACCAAGAATCTGATAATGCTCGAAATTTAATAGTCAAACTTACTCGTTGATTTTGATATTGACATTGAGCACCATAGTAACTAGGTGGACAAAAACATGTATTTATTGTTAAATTCTTTTCATCATTTAACCAGACACGTAAGTCAAAACCACGATGACATTGATGTTGATGTTTTTGACGAGTTTCTAAGGTAGATGATTTTGAAAGCATAGTTTTTGTTTCATCGAGAAACATATGATTGTTCTCTTCATCAATTCCATCTAATGAAAAATATTTTAATATTTGTCTAATCTTCACTTCTGCTACTCTACATAAAAATTTCTCGACATCAGAAAGAAGAGATCTCATTGACCGATGACAAACATAATCTTCTATGGGAACACTTCGATTTTTAACACAAAATTGTTCATCTTCTTGATCACAAATTTTCTTGTTGTTACATAGTTCCAAACTAGAAATGCACTCTCCCCTGCTTCTGTATGTACAATAAAAGTTCGCGCCAAAGTACATATTAGATTGTCCCGGACATAATGTTGGCTCATTAGTAGCACCAAGACAATCGATCTTGCCGTCATTGATTTTCTCAATAGATAGACATACCAATTGATTTGTGTCGGGTAAAACACATAGGTGATGATCTAAAGAACAATTTAATTTTGAAAATGAGTAGCAGTCAATTTCATCTTCACCATGAGGACAATTCCATATGCCATCACAATAAGTATGAATGTTATTACATGACCATTGTTCACATTCCGTTTCATCGGTTTCAATTTTTCCTTCGATTGTTTTTGGAAATACCCCAACAAATCCATCACAAATAATTTGAAATGAAATATTCTTTTTAGTCGAGAAAACATATTCACGTTCATCTTCACACCAGTCATTGGAATCGAGTGCATTGTTACACAAGGAAGAATTATTAAGTTCACTTTCACACCAGGAACGATTCTTAACTGGACAGTGGCAAATATCATCATTAATAAGCGATGGTGTGATATATGTGTTAGATATTTTCGCATTTCATATGGTTTTTTAAAAGTTCTATTAAACCAACGTCTATAATATGGTTCAAATCTTCATCGTCTCCATGAGGACAATCTGATCTAGTGTCCATGAGACGATATTTTGAGATACATTTGAATGAATTAACACATTGGTACATGTTCGATCTATTGCAAATTGTAGAAGTATAATTGAAAAATAGATAGTATTTGTTGAGGTCATTGATAAGTGTGTGGAACATAGGATCATATTGATGCCTCCATAGAATTCCATGCCAGTAAGAAACTGTGAACCAATGAGGAGAGAAACACTTTTTGTTGTTGAATATTAACATTGTCGTATTAATGAAATAGTCATCATAGTGAGAACGATTATAACATATATAAGGTTTTATATCACGTCTATTGGCTATTGTTAGCGAGTCTTTTTTTCTATGTGCAAAGTAAATGTCACCCAAAAAATGTGGAGCATTTGGAAAGAAAAACATATCTGGACATGTCTTCTCAATGATTTCTAGACATTTTGCTTTTTCACAGATCTTATTGAAGAATTCTGGGTCAACAAATGATTTAAAAGCTGACCAACATTGTTCAGACATCGAATCATCTTTGTCCGAATATAAAGCTTCAAGGTACAGTTTGAAGCTCGCTGTTTTGAAATACCTTAACAATGTGTAAAATGTAAATCCTATATCTTCACATTTTAATGAAGGTTCACCTTTATCACATTGAGTAGGACGTGAACCTTCGATTCCATATTCATCCGAGGTATCAACACAATCAGGAATCTCAGAATTATCTCGAAAAAAGGACTTTGGTATACATTGTCCATTAGTACATCGATATTCGTTATCATTACATTCATTAATTTCAAGTTGTCAACAATGTTCTTCATCAAATTTACCATCGATGCAATTTACCTGTCCATCACAAATTTCTCTCCAATATATACATAATGGAAAAGGGCCACGATTACATTGTAAATGAATATAGCATGTCAAAGTAGTTGGATCATACGGATACCTATTATAATAATCATGAATAATATCATATAAAGATGATTGGTTTTCATAATAATAATTCATTTCATATTGACACATCGGACTCGGACCGAATCTTGGAAATGTACAATTATAGAAAACTTGTGTTTCCAAAGATTTATCATCTGATGTTGATAATTGATTTAAATAGAATTGATAACGTTCAACAATATCAATCGGAGTTAACCAAAGATATAATTGTTGACTAGTAATATTTCGTTTCGAAAGTTCACCAAAGGTAAATTTTGGAAAGCTATTATGTTTCTCAATATGAAATTTTGATGGTAATTCATTCATACAATAAGATGTAATTTCACGATAAATATTGTTTTTATCAATAGCAACAGCAATACGCAAGCAATTATGTTGTAAAATATAATTACTTTCACTCTCATTGATCCAATCTGTATAATGCAGATTGATTTGAGGTGATGCAAAAATAAAATTTAAGAGAATCAAACTGAATAGATATTTCATATAAAACATTATTTCTTTATGAATACAATAACAAATGAATACAGTAATGACTTTCTATAGTGTTCACAGAAGATTTATATATACATATATTTTTCTTTTCCTATTTTTCTCATTTGTTACACATCGCTAAAAAGTGTTCATGTCATCAAAAATGATCAGCACTTATAAGCAAAATAATCCGTTCTTATTTGATCAATAGATTTTCTACATATTTGCTGATATAGAATGTATGTAATGTGTTTCCTGATAAGTTGAAAGACAGAAAGACAAAGTAATGTGCGTTGATCAATATTAATTCTTTAATCTATGAAATGAGGAACAGATGCGTAGGCTGATGCATTAATAAGCGAAGGTTGATTTCATTATCGTCGACTTTGTTGGAAATTTACGAGGACTTTTTTTTAATTTTTTCCGTTTAAGAGAATTATTCATCAAAAAACCTTCAAAATTTGACATTTCTGCAATCTTACACCAAACAATTTATTTTAACAAATCCTTGAGATAGGAATCAAGTACAGTCCTTATGGGTAATCCGGATCAAAATTTTAAAAATTCATTTTGTTTTTCTTCATTCTTCTGTATTTTACGTAATATAGAGGTGAGTTTTGGATCACAAGTAGAACAAAGTGTGCTCTATCGATTGACGAAAGAATCTCCGAAAAATCATGTATCGTAAAAAAGTATGATCAAAAATACAAAAGGTCGTGTGCTAGGTGATCCGAATTACCCCATGTGGGGTAATTCGGATCATTACAGCCAAAACTACTATACCCTATTTTTCCCATCTCTTAACTCAATTTTTAGCTGGTCTTGAAAAATAACCAAATATACCATTTGATAGCTCAAAGTCTCTACTATGGAACCTGAGGATATCTCGATGATCGAGTATGACCTTAGAGATGCAATATTCACAACATTGACACCTATATTCATCATTTTTTGAAAGTTAAAAATGAACTTGGGGCAATTCGGATCAGTCAAGCAATTTTACCTGGAGTAATTCGGATCACTCCAGCTATTTTAGCTGGACGTAACTTATGAAACCTCTACTGTTTTTACAATACATTATCCACTAGTACTCCTGGAACAAAAGTTGTTCATCTCTCTTTTTTCTATCATCCCATGCAAAATAACATGACATTCAACGAGATCGACCAAGTATTTTTTTTATTTTTGAAATGATGGAAAAAGGCTGTTTTTTTATGATACACCTTATAGTATTTATCATATTATTGCAAAACAATAATACATCCGAGAAAAAATAAATTTGGTGTTTCAGACTCAGAATTGTTTGGGCTACAAAACTGTATGAAAGAAAACTTCCTAAGAGTTGTCATTATAAACTATAATGTCATAAATAGACCCATAAAACATCATAATTTTATGAAAACTCAACTTTATTGAAGCTTTAGTCTAAGGAAATCGATAAATTATCGCAAATTTTTTGCATCGATAATAAAAGAGCTAAATTATCACCTTTAGCAATATAATCAAAACTTAGATGGTCGACCAGTATCACGATAAAAAACGAGACTTCGAGTGAGAATTCAACGTTGTATAAGGAGTATTGAAAGTATTTGACCCTTCACGAATTGAACAACCATTTGCAACTGGTTCAATAGGTAATTCAAGATCGTTATCATTACACTATTTTTTGACATTTTTTTAATATATGCTCGTGGCATTCACCAGATTTATTCTTTTATTTAAAATATAAATAACGAACAGTAAAAACCCAAGGTGATGACAGTTAGAAATAATTAAGGGGTCCCTCTCAGAAAGTAACTTTGTTATTTTTCGACGTAACTCAACCGAAATTTCAGAGAATGTTAGTCTTGACTAGTGTAGATTATGGTTAAAATATCTCCTCAGATTGTGAGCTATTCACGAGTTATCATCTATTTTTTGGTCGAAAGTACCCTGTACGCTGGCAAGGTTTTCACAATCAGGACACGAGCTAACATAGCGGGGCTGCTTTTAAGTTGTAGAGAACCCTTGGCGCTAGATCCTCAGAAAGCCCGATTTTCGAAGTTTCCTTTGTTTGTATTATAAAAACCTTTCTCCGAAAACTTCGCGAATTCATGACCAAAAAACGCTAACATAAATTAGACATGTGAGTTTTTTATTTCGCCAACGTAGAAATTCAAAAATCGGGCTCTGTGAGGATTTAGCCCTAAGTGCCTTCTATGTAATAGAAAAAAATAATTATCACTTCCATGTCGAGTTGTTATGGAGAAAAATCTGGCCGCGTAAATTGCGTGCTCGAAAAAACTGATTTTGAGAAAAACGGAAAATAAGTATTAGAAATCGATTTTTTCGAAAATCACTTGATTTATACACCGATGTTCAAGACAGGCTATAAATATGGGATCTAAATATTAAGTTTTCATAGGCTGTTAGTGATTATTTTTTAAAAGAACTTTAAGAAATGCTGATGCAAAGAGAAAGCAGCCTAAAAATGCGAAATAGCTTGAAATAAAAAACCGTGAAAATTTGTCGAAAAATCTGATAGTAGGAGCCAAGTTTTAGATGATAAGTTCGTCAAAATCATTTCAGCTTTCGATTAACTGTAGATATTCTGAAAGAGAAGACGTCAGTGTATCTTCCTATGATGCAACTTCAACCTCGACTCGTCTCCGAAAAATGGGATTTTCTGAGAGGGGCCCCCCTTAAACACAAACACTTCTATACAATAAGAGAGAGGAAGAGGGCAAGGGAAAGAGAAGGAAACATACGCATATATTAACGACAATAATTTTTTCTTCTTCTTTTTACTCATCTGGCTACAATATTTGATGCATAAACTATCTGAAAAAAACATAATAAAATAATGATTTTCTTCTTACCATGCCAATTAAGTGAAGCCTAAATGGTTATCGTTTTATCTTTAAAGAAAATGAAAAAAATCTCACAAAGTCAGTTATAACTGCGAAAACGTCAAAGTACTCTCAACTAGAATAATTCTTCTCGAGCAGTTTCAAGATAATAGCACTATAATGGAATAATTCTTCATTACAAGAAATAATTAATATAATTTTTGAAATCATGATTGCCTCAAAGATGATAATAAAAACGCTTAAAAACAAACTTTCATAAAATTATGATGTTTTATGGGTCTATTTATGACATTATAGTTTATAATGACAACTCTTAGGAAGTTTTCTTTCATACAGTTTTGTAGCCCAAACAATGCTGAGTCTGAAACACCAAATTTATTTTTTCTCG